CTGATGAGGGTGAGGAACTCCTCCCGCGTCTTGGGGTCTTCCCGGAACACGCCCAGCATCGTGCTGGTCACAGTCTTGCTGTTCATCTTCTGCACCCCTCGCATCACCATACACATGTGTCTGCAAAACAAGCCAACGAAAGGAGAATAAACAGTTACTGGTCTGGTTTTAAAATAAAAAGCAGGCCAAAATGTTAAATCTGATTAAACTGGGTTTACAATAACCATGTTTGTCGCTTAGATAAATTTTATCTAAAAAAAAATACAAATTTTTTAAAATATATTTTATTGATTTTTTACAGAGAGGATGGGAGAGAGATAAAGAGCCAGAAACATCGATGAGAGAAAAACATCGACCAGCTGCCTCTTGTACACACACACACACACACCCCCGGATGTGGCCACAACCCAGGTACATGCCCTTGACCAGAATCGAACCTGGGACCTTTCAGTCCGCAGACCGACGCTCTATCCACTGAGCCAAACCGGTTTCGGCAAAAATACAAATATTTTTTTAAATTCCTTCTTTTTTATTTATTTTCTTTTCTTTTAAAATATATTTTTATTGATTTCAGAGAGGAAAGGAGAGGGAGAGAGAGAAACATCAATGATGAGAGAGAATCATTGATCAGCTGCCTTCTGCACAACCCCTAGTGGGAATTGAGCCTGCAACCCAGGCATGTGCCCTGGACCAGAATCGAACCCGGGACCTTTCAGTCCGAAGGCTGACGCTCTATCCACTGAGACAAACTGGCTAGGGCTAAAAAAAATATATATTTTTTAAAAATTTTTAGTTTAATGTCTTTTATTCTTCTCAGTGGTCGAACCCTTAGGGCACCCAACAGGAGAGGGGAGAAAGGGACAGTCTTCCTAGGTGAAAATAATACAAGGGAGATATGGAGATACAGGCTCAAGAGAAGAAGAAATCCAGAGTTCTCACTTCTTCTGTTTTCATGACCAAGACAGCATTATGCTAGCTGAGGGGTTCAGAGAAATGGTGAAGTACGCTGGGCTCACCAGCCAGAATCCAGGACGCTGGCCACAGTGAGTGTGAGCGAACTGGCGCAGCTGGAGAGCACGCACAGTACAGAGTCCATGCCATGCCGGGGGAAGGGGTGGGAACTTTGCCCACAAGCTGCATGCGATTCTCACAATGCCTTCTAACTGAAAGAAGTGTCTTCTGGTGCCCTATGAACCCACTCTTAGTTCTATTTTTTTAAATATGTGCCAAAATATTAGAAAAGCTCTGCTTGGAGCAACAGAGAGCTAAAGACAAAATCAAGAGAAGATATACAACGCTACTGCCTGTGCGAACCACTACGCCTGAGCTCAGGACTCCCTACTCTCCCACAGCCCCCGCCCCCAAACTCACACACACACAACAGCCTCCCATGCCCTCGTTCCCACAGTGGCAACACGGTAAGTGAAATGAATATCCGTTCAGGCACCACCATGACGTTATTAAAAGCAAACATGGACTTACGTTGCTTCAACCACGACCCCGACTCCAGCAGGCCGCAGGGCTTCCGTGATTGCTACGGCAATCTGCTTCGTAAGGCGCTCTTGAACTGTGGATGTGACAGGGAGCTCAGTTTAAGCGTCTCGCACAAACAGCTGAACGTTTTTGCTGTCTCTAGAACATATAAAAACCTCAAAATGCAGACTTCCGAGAGATGCAAACGCTGAGACACAGCAGCTCCTAGCAGCTGGCTTTGTCTGCTGCCTGGGCCACAGGAGGGCCCTCAGTGCCGGTGCTGCCCAGAGCTCAGGAAGCGGGCGCCCTCCAGCACCCCTGGAGGGGATGGATTAGAGCAGCAACTGTCTCTCCGGGTGCAGTAAGACCAACAGGAGACTGGTAACAAGCACCTCCACCGAGGAGAGCAGAGCAAAGGAAAAAATAGTTCGGCAACAGGATTCACAAGGGGGTGACAGTGTGACTATTGAATTGTACTCAGCGCGATGCTGAAAACTGGTGATTTAACCTCGAGAGCTGATCTCTGAATGCATACATTCACGGCAGCATTGCACCCCTTGGGAAGCTGACACATCCCCCAAGTTGTCTATCAGAGCAGGGGTGATCAAATGAAGCCGCAGCACAGCCGTGCAATGGGACGCTGAACAGCGGGCAAAACAAATGAGATACTTACATGTCTGTGGGGGAAATGTTTAAGATGTAAGTGAGGCGGGGGGAATAGGGAAAAAAAGAGAAGTGAAGCCCATTATGTATAATATGAGCCCTTTTTAAAATGCAATAAAATAAATTTCTTTTAAAACATTTGGATATGCATAAAGGAGTAAAGGAATGTATACAGCAAACATTTTCTGTTTTATATTCCTAGGAGGTTTCAATTTTTTAAGTCATGTGTATTATAAGAATAAGAAAAATTTTTTCAATTAAAAAATAGTTTTAAAATTTACCTTGTAATCTTCTACTATAGATTTCTACAATCCTAAAAAAAAGAAAGATTTGTTTTAGTTAATGATAAAATTTTTAAAGTGAAATTGCTAAGGCTTCCTCATAAGACTAAAAGGACTTCATTGAAACAATGATAGGATGTGGACAGGAGACCAGTGCTCACAGGAGGATAGAAAGGTATAAAAACCACAGGACAATGAAGAGGGAAGGCCTAACCAAGACCAACTAGGACAGAGTGGTGTATCCCTATGGCCCCAAAGAGAGAGAAAATTAAGAGTATATAGTTCACTCACGAAAAACACAATTACAGATGAGTAATTTTAAAACTCTCAAGTCACCAATTCTAAGCCAAGACTCAAGTGTTCTAATATATATATATATATATATATATATATATATATATATATATATATATATATATATATTATTGATTTTAGAAAGGAAGGGAGAGGAAGAGAGAGATAGAAATATCAATGATGCGAGAGACTCATTGATCAGCTGCCTCCTGCAAGCTCCCTCCTGGGGATCAAGCTCGCAACCCAGGTATGTGCCCTTGACCAGAATTGAACCCAGGACCCTTCAGTCTGCAGGCTGACACTCTATCCACTGAGCCAAACCAGCTAGGGCTCAAGTGTTCTAATTAAACATATTGTTTAATCAGAGCTTAAAGTTCAAGTTAAAAATAAATATTTGTTCATTAATAGCTAGACCAATGTCAACTATTGTGCCAACTAAACCTATTATGATAATCAGATTAGAATTGAACAGACACCTCTTTACATAATAGGTCCATCTGAGCAATCAAGATGATTAACCCCCTCCCAAAATAAAAGCTGACTGATCTTAGCTTATAACACAATCTGTCAAAGGATGATTTTTCTCCTCTCAACAGCTTTCACTCTAGTTGTGAAATGTAAAGTTGGCCACATGAATCACCCCTCCTATTTCTTTCTCTGTTATTATTGATTTTTAGAGAAAGGAAGGGAGAGAAAGAAAAAGAGAAACATCTCTTTGTTGTCCCACTTATTGATGCATTCATTTGGTTGCTTTTTGTCTGTGCCCTAACCGGGCATCAAACCCACAACCTTGACGTAACGAGGATGATGGTCTAACCAACCGAGCAATCTGGCCAGCGCTGCGAATCACCCATTTTAGAATAATAATTCACACTGAGGACCTTTTCGTTAAAACGTGGCCTTTTAGACGTGAATTTGGACTCAAGGTTCACCTCGTCTATGTGGCATTTTAAAGCTCTTCTCTCCAATATGACCCTCATATAGAACTGACAACTTGCACCTTTATACCTGTTACAGCAAATAAAGTCAATAAATTGTGGGTTTCCCTAGTCACTGCTCAACCTGATTCTTCTGTGTTCCCAGCAGGCAAACAACATTGAAGGAACTCCAATATATATGGTTTTTATTTTGTTTAATTAGTATAATTATTTTGAATCCTCACTGGAGGATATTTTTTTCCATTGATTTCTAGAGAGTGGAAGGGAGGGAGGAGGGGAAAAGAGAGACAGAGAAACACTGAGGTAAGACACATCAATTGGTGTCTGCAACCGAAGTCCGTGCCCTGGACCGGGTTTTAAACCCAAGACCATTCAGTGTGCAAACATATAAAATATGTGCACCAAAGCATTTTTTTCTTTCTTGATGGTACCCTCAAACGGTAAACTAAACTTACAGGTATCAAAGACTGGTTAAGTGAATTCTATTAATCAGCCAATGAAATACTATGTAACCATTAAAAAGGACTTGGACTTTTGGGACTAAAATATGTACAAGGGATTTTGATGTATTTTAAATAGAATTTAAAAAGTTGTAGTACAAAATGTAGAGTATGATCCCTTATTTATTTATTTATTTATTTATTTATTTGGCTTTGTTTTGTTTTGGTAATTTTAAAGAGCTTTGTTTTTGTATTTTCATAGACATTTTCCAAAGGACAGTGAAAGAAATATCTAGTTTTGATTCTGGGGAATAAAAACAGGAAAGAAAAATTTCCTTTCACTCACTCATTTGAATTTAGATTTAACTGGTATGTATATTACTTTTATAATTGAGAAAGGGGGGGCCGGGGAGATGTTCTCTTTGTAATCCAATGCCTCCCCTGCCTTTTTAACTATCTCCCCATTCCCCCTGCCCACATCTCTTATTTCTAACCATCAGACGTGTTTCCTATCCACCGGACTATGCCTTGCTCCTACTCTCTTATCTGCCTTTGCTTAGGCATTAACTTCTCTTCCGCTTAGAATTCCGCTCAGCCCTCCACCTCTGGGTCTCTTCAGCCACGCCAGGCCACAGCGACCTTGCTGCCTCTACAATGGGAGCTCCAAACCAGGTGACTGCATGGCACCTGCTGCCTCATACTCTCACCCTCCTTCAGAGTGGAGGCTGTGTTCTACTTCTCTCTGGCACCGTGTCCTTCCCCGGAAGGCGCTCAATAAATAGACTAACCAGGGCTACCACGAGGCATGGCAATTCAAAATTCAAGATTTAATGCTGTTCACTTGGTTATTAAGGCCAGAAAAGTAATACACACTCAATGGATTTTTTAAACAAAGGATTTTTTATTTTTTTTTAAATAAGGGACATTTCACAAACTTGCGTGTCATCTTACGCAGGGGCCATGCTAATCTCTATATGGTTCCGGTTTTAGTGTTTGTGCTGCCGAAGCGAGCACAACAAAAGGAATTTCTATTCAAACTAGATTTACTCTAGAATTCTACTAAAGTTCAACCAGATCAACTCACTTCTGGCATTTTCTTAGCACTTAAGGCTTTCCTGTTGGGCTGATGATATTTGACTTCTGTGGCACTGAAAGGTCATTCGTTTAAAGGCAAGCACATCACAAACTTCATATACAAGAGTAAAATGAACAGTGAAGTTTTGCAAAGACATTCAGCTCCCTTTATTACTCTTCATTCCCTGAATATTCCTACTTCTTACGAGGAATAAAGCAAGTTGGATAAAAACTTAGCCTTCTTGCCCTAGCTCATTTGGCTCAGTGGATAGAGCATCTGCCTGTGGACTGAATGGTCCCAGGTTCTATTCCAGTCAAGGGCACATGACAGGTCTTGGGCTCAATCCCTAGTAGGGGGCATGCAGGAGGCAGTCTCATCACTGATGTTTCTATCACTCTCTCCCTCTCCCTTCCTCTCTGAAATCAATAAAAATATATATGTTTTTTAAAACTTAGCCTTCTTTTCCATTTAATAGTCCCTTTATTCAAATTTTTTTACAATAAATCTGAAACTAACATACACTCAGTTTTTCGTTTAACTTTCCTTCCCCCTGCCCCCTTACTCTTAAATTTTAATCCTGTTCATTTAAGGACAAATCTCCAGGCTAATAAACAACTCCTTTGTATTGTTTCATAAAAGCCTAATTATTTGAGATCTTTTCCTTGCACTAGGAAAGGAAATAACCAAAGATTATTTCTTCTATTTTCAAGTTACCATTTATTCCAAGATCTCACTGAATCGCTCTGGAACCCATTTCCATAAAGTGTTACCTATGGTCTAATAATGTGGTCTTTGAGAGAAGGTGCTCACCTTTAAGACCAAGGCCTATGTAGTCTACCAAGCTGTTTCATAATATGAAAACTCTCCACTACGTACCTTTTACAGTGGGGCAGGCTGTGAATGGCACTAGCAGTGCCAGAATACCTACATGGGGAAGATGCAGAGTTGGCAATAGGAATTACAGTAGGGTTCATTACCCCTCACCACCAATACCCTTTCTCAGTCACCCCTTGGCACCGCCATTGGGTGCAAATCCCTGAGAGGTGGAAGGTGTTTCTGGATTTGTGTTAAGAGCCTTATTGCTGTGAAGCACTTACAGCTGAGACAATAACATCCTTTCAGAGCTCTGTGTGGTGGCAAGATTACTGACCAAGAATAAAGTCAGACACTAGGAAAGTTAAAATTTTCCCTTCTACTTACTTTCTCCTTATATCCTAGAGGAAATGAGTGAAAAGAGAGTAAAAAAGAACAGCCATGGAAGGCAACTGCCAGACTGCTGGGTGGTTTTTACAGTATCGACATGGAATTGAAAAAGATCCGGATCATTTCAGGACTGAGGCAAAACTCAATGCAGGTGGGGAAGAAGCAGAAACACCTCAGAGCCACAGAGTAGTCACATGATCATGACCAATTTTGATATGGTCACTATAACCTCCATAAAGCTATGAAAACTTAGCTTGGCTTGTTGTAAAAAGTATGTTTTGGAGGGGGGGCACTTGACTGTGTATTTATTACCTATTTTTTCTTCATTTCATTCTTTTTTTTTTTTAATATATTTTATTGATTTTGTACAGAGAGGAAGGGAGAGAGACAGAGAGTTAGAAACATCGATGAGAGTCATCGATCAGCTGCCTCTTGCACACCCCCTACTGGGGATATGCCCGCAACCAAGGTACATGCCCTTGACCGAAATCGAACCCAGGTCCCTTCAGTCCCCAAGCTGACTTTCTATCCACTAAGCCAAACAGGTCTCAGCTTCATTTCGTTCTTAACTCTCTCTCAAAACACACACACACACACACACACACACACACACACACACACACACACACCCCTCCCAGGATTTCCCCAGTACTCACTATTTCTAAACAGAGAAATTACAAAAAGGGGTATTAACATACTGGTGATGGATCTATCCAAGATAGATAAACATGGACCCTCAAGTTGACTGCCAGTTAGTTGATTACCATACTCTCTTTCCTAAAACCCTAATAAAAATGACAGCAGAAGAAAAATGTTTAAGGGAATGAACACGTAGGATAAAGAATAGAAAAGAAACTGTAGCAGAAAGGAAAGAAGTGGGAGAGGAGAGTAGGCACTATCTTGGAGTAGAGCTGAGAGGAAGACACAGACCTGTGTCTGCAAAGGCAACGAAACCAGAAGTGAACTGATTGGCCCTGCAGGACCCCAGAGAGATGCCTGACGGCAGGGTTGAGACCCCACTTGATGGTTGTTTGAGGAAAGCCTGAAAACAGTGCAGTGCAGTTACACCCCTGCCAGGTTTCTTCCCCCGCCCCACACTGTCAGCTAAGCCACCCTGAAAGGACCGGAGCTCGGGTCCTCTCCAGTCAGGAAGGCCCTACAGAGAAAGGCGTGAGCTAGGACCTTAAGGGTATGCCAGTGGATGAAAGGGGTGGCAGGGAGGCGAGGGGGGAGTGAGGAAAAGCACATTTGTATTTCAGGTCCTGTCTTAGTCCTCTAAGTCTTTATACATTTTAAGTTGCAATGAGAGCTCGACGTTAGATCCAGACCGGTCAAGAAGGAAAGCCTGCTGAGATCCTCGCTGTGCAGGCCCAGGTCCGATAAGCCTGCTTTCCTATTCACCGCGCAGTCATGCTTACCTCGCAAGTTTGCTGAGGCCAAGGACTTGCTTGTTGGGAAGGTAACCGATGTGGACCTTCGGAGAAGAGACAGAAATGATGAGCTAAGTGAAAATACAGCGCTTTCTTGTGACAAAATAAGGAAATAAGGAGACATGATACAGAATGCTTTTATGAAATTCAACTCATGAAAATGTTTCTTTAAAAAAAAATACAGCACATAGGTAGACATTTAAAATTCACATAAATGCAGTAAGAGGAAAATATATAAGAATGATTCTATTAATAATGATTCTATGAATATAGTCATGGTATTTCCTGGTGAAGTTAAATTCTCTTTACAGTCCTTAAAGTCTTTCCTCTGTTGAGGGGAAACATATCAAAAAAGTGTAAATCATCTTGTAGCAACAGTAAACTGTAGGCAGGGCTCAACAGTGTGGCTCAGTGGTTGAGCATCAACTCATGAATCAGCAGGTACCCAGTTCAATTCCTGGTCAGGGCACATGTCCAATTGCAAACTCGATCCCCAGTGCGGGGAGTGCAGGAGGCAGCCAATCAATGTCCCTCTCTCATCGATGCTTCTATTTCTCCCTCCCTTTCTCTCTCTAAAATCAATAAAAACCTTTTTTTAATGGAGCCATAGAAGTCTTTTGGAAATGGTTGAAACTATAACTTTAAAAATTGTCATTCCACACATCACTGTAGCCTTAACGATCCCACCCCATTGTACAGAAAGAGGGGTTCCACGCCCTTTGTCATGCATGGGGGCCTCATTTCTAAGCTGCTGGAGAGTGCCAGAAGAGCCCAGATGCAAATGTGACTGCAAGAGCCTGGAAACTACCACTTATGTTTTTTTTCTGTGTGTTTCTTAAAAATATATTTTATTGATTTTTTTACAGAGAGGAAGAGAGAGGAATAGAGAGTTAGAAGAGTTAGAAACATCGATGAGAGAGAAACATCAATCAGCTGCTTCTTGCACACCCCCTACTAGGTATATGCCCACAACCAGAGTACATGCCCTTGACTGGAATCGAACCTGGGACCTTTCAGTCCGCAGGCTGACACTCTATCCACTGAGCCAAACTGGTTTCGGCAACACTTATGTTCTTATAGAATACTATGTAATAAAGATGTAATATGCAAATGGTTGTTACACTGTAAAGCATAACGACTAACCGCATAATGATCAAATTCAAATCAGCAGGAGGGTGGGGCATTGAGCTGCAACCAGGCAGTGAAGAGCTACAGGAGAGGGCAGGGCAGCAAGCTATGGGGGAGTGGAGAGGGGAGAGAGCTACAGGAGGGTGGGGCAGTGCGCTACTGGTGCACGGATTCATGCACAGGGCTACTAGTCTACTATAATATAAAGCAAAGCCATTTCTATTAATATCTGATTAATATCTAATATGTAAATGTTACTTCTCTTTGAGCTATGCATTAGATATGGAGAAAACATTCATTCTCCATAAAAGCTAAAGGTAAATAAATAATCATTGTAGGCCATCAATTAACCTAATATAAAATTATAGACTTATTTGCATCATGGTGAGCCAGGATTTGTTGCATCTGTTCACCTACTTTTCTATACATGTGAATAATTGATCTAGTAATAATTAATGATTTTTCATCTACTATCACTATGCTGTGGGAGTTTACAAATACCCACACATCACCCTCCTGGTCAGCAGAAGGAGAAAGTAAAGCAGCTCCTAAATGTTACGTATTTCAAAGAAAATTAGTGAGTCAGAACTTTCCCATAGAATCAAGGCCTTTGCGCCACTTGAAATGTTCATACTAGCGTGCAGAGCTATAATCTGTGCATTGTTTGTACTATTTTTTATCTTCCTAAAGATCCTAAGTCATTTAAATGTCAATTTTAGAAAATCACCACTGAAAACTGTATTTAAAACAGAATTACCAAAAACACAAACACAGAAGTGCTCCTAGCAGAAAGCAACAGGGTATAGCAGTGAGATACTGTGATTAGGAAAAAATATGTATTTGGTCTTCATCCACCATTCCTGACTCATAGTTCCCAAAATCCTTGGAATTTCTCAGGTATTGACGGGGAGGGGAGAGTATATTTTGTTATGTTAATGAAGTAGCTTGGACAGTGCCTAAGAATGGGACCTGGTTGCCAATGGAGCCTACTAGGTGATGAAAGGATTGGAAATTCCAGTCCCACCCCACCTCCACACATACCACCCAGGAGAGGAGGGGAGAGAGGTTGGAGGCTGGATCTATTGGCAATGGCCAATAATTTTAATCAATCGTGACTATACAATGAAGACTCCATAACCACACAAGCAGATGGGGTTCAGAGAGCTTCCCAGGTGCTG